ATATATATATATATATATATATATATATATATATATATATATATATATATATATATATATATATATATATATATATATATATATATATATATATATATATATATATATATATATATATATATATATATATATATATATATATATATATATATATATATATATATATATATATATATATATATATATATATATATATATATATTAGGATTTAGACCATATTCGATACAGTTTTCAAGAAAATCAACCGTGTTAATACAATTATGTTTATACATTAATTTTTCAAGTTTTCTAATTAAAATTTTATTATAATTATTTAATTTAAGTAAAAAACTAAAATTATTATTGTTCATGTTATTAATATAAATAATTGCAAAAAGCTTTTTCGATATAAAATATATCATCGTCAGTGCAAAATATTTTTAAATAATAACGAAAATTACCGTTTATAAACAAATGACGTCATACAGTATAACTTAATTTTAAGCGCGAAACGTTTTTGAAAATATTATTATTAATTATTATATACTATACATTTAACATATTGATAAAATTAACTTTAAATTATTTACATAGATATATATTAGAATTAAACAAAATAAATGAAAATTAAAATATTAAAAATTGCTGAAAAAACGACCATAAACTAAATCAACAAAATAAAAAGCAAAAATCATACTACAATATTCATGTTTCCAAGTTTATATTATTATCATTGCCATTGTTATTATTATTATTATTATTACAATTGTTGTTGTTGTTGTTGTTGTTGCCCCTTCACCACCACCTATCCATTGGTCAGGCGAAGTCTGAGCCAATCAGCAACCGCGGTTGGGTTTTGCCACGGGTCTATTGTCTTGAGATTCGTAGGATTGGCAGGACAGGAGAAAAGATGAGCCACGTCGTCTACGTGCGTGTGACAGTGAGGACACATATTACCTGTACCGCCATCAATAATTTCCCTATGATGATACTGTGGCCAGATCGGAGTTGGGCCAGAGTTCTTCATATTGCCCGAGGCAGAGATTCCTCTGAGCTGTCTATTTGTGGTTGTGGGGGGAGGCCATCCGTTAAGAAGGATCGGCGTGGGGTACGCCTCCGCAGCGGCCTTGGCAGCCATGCCATGTAAATTTCGGATAGCCATATTGATACTTGCACTATCGGAATTAGTGTGTAAGATGGATCTGACTGTGGCTCCCCATTTTGACATCAGAGTGTTTTTCATCACACGAGGGGGAAGTTCGGCTGACACTAATGTATGACATGGATGTTGAGGGTCGAAACATTTTGTGATGAATTGTTTTGACAGTAGATCTGTATGCTGTTTTATTGACAGCAACTGGCACTCGGACAGTAGATGCTTCTCGGATGCGATTTTGTGACAGCCAGTGACGATTCTCATTGCACCATTCTGAGCGCGTTAAAGACGGCATAGATTGAATTCCGAAGAAAGAGACGACCAGGCCGGGCAGGCATATTCCTTTGTTGATCTGCCTATGGCCTTGTAGACCTGTAAGAGGGTCTCTTTATCTTGGCCATAGGTGGTGCAGCTGATAGCTTTTAAAACATTATTCCGTTTTGTAGCCTTGGATGCTGACAATTTATGGTGTTGAGTGAAGGTCAGCATCGGGTCGAAAGTGAGGCCAAGAATTTTCGGGTTATGTTCTAGCGGTAGAACCTGCCCGTTTACCTTTACTTGGGGATGATAGTGGTATTGCGCTGTGTGAGGTGTGAACAAAGTTATAGAAGATTTAGAAGTGGATATTTCCAGGTCGCGGAGAGAGAAGAAGTTTATCAGGAGAGAGAGATAGTTGTTGAGTCGCTGTGTCAGAATATCCACATCCGGGCCGGTCGTATAGACGGAGAAGTCGTCCGCATATGATATTACCTTGATATCAGATGGTGGTTCAGGAATGCGTGAGACATAGTAATTGAACAACGCAGGGGACAGGACTGAACCTTGAGGAACTCCTGGTTTCGGAATTCCGTTACAGCAGACCGACCGTGCAGGTAGTTTGACAACCAGCGTGAAATGGAGCTTGGCAGCGAGGACTTCAAAAGGTCAGAAATAAGAATTCTGTGGTTGACCATGTCAAAAGCCTTTGACAGGTCCAAAGCTACCAGCGTGGTTTGATGTGCTGGTCTCATCTGATTGAAACCATTGGCAACATCCATAGAAAAGAGAGAGACAGCAGTGGTAGTGGAGTGTCCTGAACGGAAACCATGTTGGTGACTGGCCGGGGACAGATGCTCAGAAATAAATGAGAGGAGGCATCTCTCAAGGATCTTAACGGCAAGGCAGAAAAGTGAAATGGGTCTATAGGATTTGGCGTCTTCATCAGACTTACCTGGCTTCAGAAGAGGGATGATCCGGGACTTCTTATAGATGTCTGGGATACAGCAGGATCTGAGTGACTCATTAAAGATCCTGGTTAAGAACGCCAGACCCAAAGAACCTCAGTTTTTTAGGTGGAGCATGGTGATGTTGTCTGGGCCAGAGGCTTTGAATACCTTGGCCGTTTTGATGGCGGCGAACACCTGATCCACCGTGAATGTAGGGTGATCGGATAGACAATTCCGTTTTGCCTCCCGGTTGATGGACCTGTTTAGTTTATTGGTTTTATGTTGACTAAAGCAGGTGAAGGATTTATCGAAAAGGTTGACCATATCAAGCCCATTTGAGATTGGCTTACCGTTGAAGTTAATGGCGTTGTTGGGATTGAGTTGGGTCTGCCGTTGAGAGACCTGATGACGCTCCAAAAACGTTTAGGGTTGGTATGTTGGTTGAAAGTGCTTAAGAAGTCTTTCCATTTTGTTGTTTTGATATTATTGATTTTGTTGTGAATGTCATTTGAAAGAGTTGAGATATTATCGGATGATGGGTTGGAGAGCCTAAGAGCATCTCTTCGGCAAATCAGCTCGGTGACTTCCTTCGAGAGCCCTGGCTGGGAATTGATGAGCCTACCAGAAGGAATGTTGTGGTCACCGGCGTTGCCTAAGATCCTGCGGAACGCTCTTTCGGCTGCGGTGACAGTATTGGGGAAGAGTGTATTTTGAAATGCAAGTTCTGATTCAGCTGTAAAACCCGGCCAGTTAGCTTTTGAAAGGTTGATAAACGTCACTTTTGGGTTTTTGGTTGGAGTAATGCGGAGGTCGAGAGATATATGAATTGGCAGGTGGTCTGAAGAAAGAGTTGTGACTGCTGAACAATTAAGGCAGTTAGTCAAAGAGATAGAGGCAATAGAAAGATCTGGAGAAGTTGGCTGACTATTAGATGGAAGCCTGGTTGGACTGTCAAGATTTAAAGTACAGCAGTCGGAATCGTCTATTTCCGCCGCTAGCGTTTCGCCACGTGCATCACTAATACCCGAGTACCAGAGGCCATCATGAGCATTTAGATCGCCAAGTAGAATGATGTTAGGGAATTCCAATAAATCTACTATTGAAGCGCAGAAATGAGGTGGGAAAGCAAATTGAGGAGGGATATATACGTTCACTATATTTATCTCGGTGCCATCAGCCATGATGGTGATCCCCTGGCTCTCCGTGGTATCTGTATCAGGTAGCTGTTTAATGGTGTAAGGGATCTTATGATGTATCAGCATCATGAGGCCGCCGCCACGACCACTTTTCCGGTCTTTCCGGTATATAGCATAATTCTTGAAAACCGGAACAGCAGAGCGAGTTGAAAGTTTCGTCTCCTGGAGGGCGGCGATTGAGATATTGTGTATGGATAGGTGATGAGCAATCTCGGCACTCTTATTCTTATTCTTGAGATCGTTGCAGTTGAATTGAAGAATATTCAGCTTGCTGTCCGAGTGCGAGATTGGATTGATGTTGGGTGTTGCAGATGTTTTATTGCAGATGATGGGACGATGGGGTTGCGCACCACGCACCGGCGAGCTAGTAATTGTAGTAGGGTGAGGACAGTTATTACAGAGATAATAACTTCCTAAGTTAGTGGCGCAGTTGTTGAGGTGTGTCCACTTGCAGCATGTTCTGCAGCGGACAGAGTAGTGGGTTTTGTTGACACGTTTGTTACATATCTCGCAGATCCATATCTTCGGACCTGGGTTGGATTCGATGCCGGCCCGCAGTAATAGCATGCGGAGCAGGCCGGCCGGCGAGAACTGCTCCACAGGCAAAAACCCAGAACGGTGAAATCGTGTTGGGGAGGGGTTGCTGCAACGGTTTGTTGACGAGGAGGAGAGGAGCGATCCTGACCACGACGCCAATCGGTTCCACCACAAGAAGGCCGTTGCTCCAGAACCTTTTTTTGTTGTTGTTGTTGCTGTTGTTATTGTTGCTGTTATTGACAATGATGATGTTGTTGTTAAAATTAGTATTGGTGTTGTTGCTGCAATTATTAACATTATTGTTGGTGTTGTTGTCATGGTCGTTGGCATCTCTAACATGGTTAACATTGTTGTTGGTAGTAACATGGTTGTCGGTGGTGGTGGTAACGTGGTTGTTATTGTTGTTATTGGCGGTGAGAGAATTATTAATTAGATAACTGTTTAGATAACTGTTTGTGAGTCGGAAGTACTGTTATATTTTGTAGCTGAACATTTAATTTTGGATTTTTCATTTCTATTAATATGGCTTCGGCTATCTTTAAGGTGAAAGAATCGGAGTTTTTGTAAAGAACAGTTGTGTTATTGTCGAGAATTGAACGTGTTAGTGTTGTATTATGTGTTGTTTCTATATGAGATTTGATCGCACCCTCTCTTTTGTGCGTGGTAAGTCGACGAGAAAGTTGAGTGGTGGTCATTCCTATATATGAAGAAGTTTGGTGCACACAGTTACCAATGGGACAGGAAAATTCATATATAAGATGACTATTTTTCATGATGGAATTGTTGTTGGGTTGACAGTTATTTTTGATTATCATGTGTGATGTTTTGGCGTTTTTATAATATATTCTTAACTTAACTTTGCAATTGGGATTGACGGGTTTGATATTGTTGTAAATTAGTTTTCTTTAAATGTTTTCATCTGTTTTATATGAAGTGGACATGATGTTGCGGTAATATAGAATAATATCTTTATCATTATTATTATTATTGTGGATGCTGTTGGTGGTATTGTTATTGTTATTATTATTGGCGTTATTGTAGTAGGTGTTGTTTTTAATATATAAACATAATAATTGTATTAACGCGGTTGATATTCTTGAAAACTGTATATATATATATATATATATATATATATATATATATATATATATATATATATATATATTGTAGCTCAAAGATACTGTACCGCAACAGGAATCCGTTTCAACATAAAATTGCAGAAGCACATTTCATAAACTATGAGAACCCTGTAATAAATATCCAACAGAATGCAGTAACTTTGCTACCGACAAAAAACCTAAACTTAGTTCTTCATTGTTATTGAAGTTAGTTTTAAGGCGTCGAGGTGGTAATCATGTTACCATTCTGTGTTAGATGTTTTTGGGGGTTTATTAATATCTCTTAGGACAGCTTCTGTAATTATTAGATGTATTGTGTTGGTGTTTTGATAAATTAATCCGGTGTTGTTATATGGTGCAGAAACATGGCCAATGACAACCAAACTGAAACAAAAACTTCAACGAACCGATATGAAAATACTCCGATGGATGCAACGAATTAATCTGAAGGACCACATCAAATCTACCCAAATCCTGCGTCGTGCTGGTTTAGATGATATAAAGGACGAATGCCGGCAATATCGTCC